CTGGGCCCCACACGTCCATTTGGAGAGTTTGCAGGGGAGCAGACGTTGGGGGAAACGAGGAGGAGTGAGGAGCGGCGCGCTGCCGCCCCTCAACACAGGGAAGACAGGGAGGAATAGGCGAGGGTGGGAGGGGAGGCAGAGACCTGGGAAGACCAGAGACAAGGAGGCGGGAGTGCATGCCATGGAGGCGTGGCAGGGAGGGGTGACCATGGCAACGCGAACGCAGACGTAGCTACCTGAGGAGGCTCAATAGTCAGTGTGTATAGACTCGACCCCGGCCGACAGGTGAATGTGGTCAGGTGACGGCCCGTCCGTGTACATGTGCAGATTGTCACACGCTGACCCTGAGGAGTGGTGGTAGTGACCATCGCATCCTGGAGGGCAGCGGTACTCACCAAGTTCGTAGAGAACGAGGGGAGGTGAAGACCTGAGAGTGAGCCAGACGGAACCGCCGGACACGGGAGAGCAGTGGAGGAATGTGCAAGAACTGGGCCCCTTGAGGGGTCAGCCAATTTGACTGCAACAGGTTCAGGGAGTGGTGTGACTGTGGTACTGTCGCGAAAGAAATTGCGGGAAGCACCTGAGTCTAGCGTGAAGCAAGACCTCAACAAGCGCAGTACCAAGGAGAGCAGACTCACTAGCACCTAGAGCAGCAGCCTCTATACCTGGGTCGGGCGGCATACACAGGTAACAGTCACCCTCAGCACTAACATTCAAGGCATGCATGGCAGCAAGCATGGAATCATAATCAAGAGCAAAGATATCCACACCCTGCCTAAGCAGCTCTAGCCAGCGGGGGAGCTTAGTCGCGTCAAGAAACTCGGCGCGTCTGGCGTCGTCAAGACGGGAGAAGCAGCGGGACTGTGTATGACCAACCTTCCCGCATGTCTGACCAGCGCAGTCACGTATGTGAATGACGTACTGGCAGCGAACACTACCCCCAGACGCCCCACGCTGAGGAAACCACTTACGAAGCTCTTGGGGCGTAGGGGTCTTACGTGGGCGCTGCTGCTGCTACCTCTGACCACCGCCAGAACCTCCCCTCTGACCGGTCCCACCCCAACCGCCACCACCACCGCCGCCGCCACCACTGCCGCTGCCACCACTCCCACTGCCGCCACCACCGCCGCCACCAACGCCTCCACTCCCACCACCACTCCCTCCGCCACCACCGCCACCACCGCCACCTCCACCGCCTCCACCGCCTCCACCACTGCCTCCACCGCTGCCACCCCCACCACCCTTGCCTCCCTTGCCCCTAATGCTGCGGCGCCTCCCACTAGGAGCAGACGCAGCCCCGACATCCTCAACACGAAGGAAGTCAACAGCTGCAGCAGAAGCGTAGGAGGGGGCAAGGGGGGAGGGGGAACACCCCTCGAAGAAGGGAGTGCGAGGAGTGCCACAAGCAGCACCTACAGTGACAATGCTAGCCTCAATTGCAAGGAGGTGCTTCTCGAGCAGGTCGACAGTGAGGTCCGTGGGGTCCGTGGCAAGAAAGAGGTCCCTGACTGCGCTAAGAGATTCAGGGAGGCGAGTGACGACGAAGTAGAGTGCGATGTGCATAGGGGAAGGGTTCTTGTCTAGAAACTTGGTGGGAAGCGTGGCGCGGTAGCGAGTGTCACTAGTGCGAAGGTGGGTGACTAGGTCGTCGACTGTGGTAAAGGCTGACAGCTCGGGAAAGAGGTAGGGCAGTATAAGGCGGCCGAGAGCAGCAGTGGCAGGGGAGGAGTAACGAGCGACTACACTACCGTACAGGGCTTTAGCAGTCTTGTGCTGGCCAAAGTGAGAGCGTTCGGCTAACAGTAGGTGATTGCAAACGGCTAGGCAAGCAGCAGCGTCACGGGTAAGCCACTGAGCGAGTCGACTGTCAGCTATGTCGGGAGGGGCAAAAGAGGCTCCAGACGTGTGGTCAAACAACGAAACGGCGTCTCTAGAATCGCTCAGTAAATACAGCTGTAAGTCATCGGGCCACGTATTGAACTGGATCGGACGGCCCTCAGGATCGAAAATGAGAACGCTGAGAGTAGCCATAGCGGGCAGAGCAGGGTGGCACGCGACGAGTAGGGCAACGCGTGTGCACTAGGGAAACGCGCACGACAGGGCGGCGCACGGCCAAGGAAGGGCGGCGCTTAGGGCAGCGCAGGGCAGCTCACGAGCAGGGCAGGGCAGGGCGGCGCGCATGCAGGGCAGGGCGGCGCGCGGCTAGCAGGGCGGCGCGTGGGCAGGCTGCAAGACGGCGCGCGGGCAGGGCAGGGTGGCGCGCGGCTAGCAGGGCGGCGCACGGGCAGGCTGCAGGCCGTCGCGCGGGCAGGGCAGAGCGGCGCGCGGGCACTGGGGCGACGCGACGAGCTGGGCAGAGGCGGCGCGCGGGCCCTAGGGTGACGCGACGGGCAGAGAAGGGCGGCGTGCGGGCCCTTGGGTGACGCAACGAGCTGGGAAGGGCGGCGCGTGGACCCTAGGGTGACGCGACGAGCAGGGAAGGGCGGCGCGTGGGCCCTAGGGTGACACGACGGACAGGGAGGGCGGCGCGCGGGCCCTTGGGTGACGCGACAGGCTGGGAAGGGCGGCGCGCTGGCCCTAAGGTGATGCGACGGGCAGGGCATGGCGGCGCGCGGGCCCTAGGGTGACGCGACGGGCAGGGAAGGGCGGTGCGGCCAGCGGGGCGGCGCGACGGGCAGGGCACGGCAGCCAGCAGGGCAGCGGGCGGGCAGGGCAGGGCGGCGCGGCAGCCAGCAGGGCGGCGCGCGGGTAGGGTAAGGAGGCGCGGCAGCCATCAGGGCGGCGCGCGGGCAGGGCAGGGCAGCGCGACGGGCAGGGTAGGGTGCTACGAGCAGTGTAACGCGCTACGGGCAGGGAACTATTCGGTGGGCCCTAAAAAACGGTCCTGGTATAGGACCTGCTCTGAAACCATGTCAGAATACTAAGCAAGGATGAACGCATTGAACAGAAAGGTGGTACAAGTACTAACCCTAATTGGGTTGCACCCCATATGGGCTACCTCACTACAGCCTACACAACACACGCAACATAATAGTTTGATAATGGCAGCCGCGTTCCTCACGAAGTGACTGGCGCGTCAGCAGTACCAACATTGCTCCAACCTTACCGGAGGAATCAAACGAGCCATTACCTGCCACGTCCATGAATGAAGGGCAGGGCTCTCGTTATCAGGGTAAAACACCCTGATTGCCCTGACTGGCTGCCGCTTTTTTTCAGTTACCCTTTCCCAGAAAGGGTAGTGGAATTTTTACCCTAGGCTAGAAAGTGTAAGTTTTTTTTTACCCTTTGAAAAACAGGGTAAGGGATTTGTTTCTCCGACTGTACAGGGTACGTCACAACTACACCAGTACCGAATGCTCCATAGCGAGACGAAACACTACTCGAGCCCCTGCAAAATACTCCCAACAGCGAGAGTCGAACAAGCAGTCTTATGGATCTAAGTCATAATTGTACCAACTGAGCCACTATGTGCTGATAGAAATACTTTTTTTACACGACAAGAGTTACTCTGCCCAATCAGTCTATTAGTTTTTTTACCCTATATTTGTCAGGGAACAAAAAAATTTACCCTATGAGTCAGGGTTGGGACTACCTAGAACCCTGATTAGAAAGGGTGGCCCAAAACCAATCGAGAGCCCTGATCCAGACTAAAACAGCTAGGTCTAACATGTGAAAATATATACGTTAAGGTCGGAATCGAGAGGAATCCAAGGATTGAGGGAAGGAATGTGGCGCGAATGCAAGTGTGAAGCACGGAGACAATGTGCGGCACGAAATGAGAAATCAGAGCAATGTCGACCTCGCTTCCCTTGTCCGTCAACCTTTCATCCACCTTCTGGCGCCCTCGCTTCCTCCTTCCGTCGCCCTAACTTCCCCCATATGTCACCCTCGCTTCCCCCTCCCATCGCCCTCGCTTCCCCCTCCCGTCGCCCTCGCTCCCCCCTCCCATCGTCCTCGCTTCCCTCTTCTCGTCGCCCTCGCTTCCCCCTCCCATCGCCCTCGCTTCCCCCTCCCGTCGCCCTCGCTTACCCCTCCCATCGCCCTCGCTTCCTCCTCCCGTCGCCCTCGCTTCCCCATCCTGTCGCCCATCCCGTCCCCCTACTGTTGCAAGTTGTAGGCAGGTGAATGTGCACTGTGGTTTTAAGGCGTAATAGGGTTTGAGTTGGTCTTTCCCATAAGGTCAACATCCTAGTTTCACTCTTTCATCCTGAAGTGGCCCAGCTAGTTAGCTGGTTCACTTCCGAAAGATGAGGTCCCGGGATCAAATCCCCCCTGCGGCGTGTTCTGCCAGCCCCCCAGAAGTGGGTTACACAGGTGCTCATCTGGGAGTGGATACAACAACCTCAATACCCAGCGAGGCGTGTAAACAAATGGGTAGGCGGGTTACGACCGACAGTCGGGGCAATACCAAGGGGGTTTCCCCATAACCTTTACCTTTACCTAGTTTCACTCTTTCAATCAGGGTACAGAAAACAAACAACTCTTAAAAATCAGGGTGGAACTTCAAAAAGAGTTTATATAAAATTTACAACTTCTGGCAGCCAGTTGTGTTAGGAAGGATGTTTGAAGGGAAGCACTCGGGTTCCAAACCCGCGTAGGTCATCTCCACCACCACTAGATTGTTTTCGTGTGAGATCCTCGCGTACTCTATAAGAAGTAGATCAGAACCGTCAGTGTAACTGGAAGGAGCTGTTCGAATGCGCTCTGAAATATCTGTGTCATAAAACCAATCATTTTTTTCTCATATGGGTCAATAAAAACACACTCTGAAAAATAAGGGTGCATAAGCAAATCCAGCCTAATAATATGTGTCATAAGAGTGAATCACCCTTATCTCTTGAGGCCTGCATGCGGTTCTCGTGAGCAACAAGGCGCTCATCTCAGGGCCCCATCCCCTTGCTCCTTAGGAGGTTCACTCATCTCAACAGTCACCATTTACCAAGTTAGACTCATTGCTTCACGGTCGCCAAGCACAGGGCAGAAGAGGCTCTCTCCTGCATTCAGTTCAAGAGGGCATCGAGGTGCTCGTCCCAGGGCTCCATACCCGTGCTCCTCCACTGCTGCCGCTTCCACTGCCACTCCATCATGCTGCCATGGCAATGAAGGGAGAATGAAGGAAGCATGCATGAAGGGAGCATGAAGGGAGAATGAAACGGTGTAATGCGATTCAAGAGGATATTGAGAGGCTTATCCCAGGGCCCCATACCCGTGCTCCTCCACTGCTGCCGCTTCCACCGCCGCCGCTTCCACCGCCACTCCATCATGCTGCCGTGCGAATGAAGGGAGACCAAAGGAGAAGGAAGCAGTGCAATGCGGTTTAGGAGTCGTCAACATTATCGAACCAGCGAACAAACACAGGCAGATGGGTTGCATCAAAAGCATCGCTAATGACAGCTGGCATGTCTCCCACCAGCCCACCCACTCACCGTCTGACAGCTGGCGTGTCGCCGCACCCCTTCAGGATGAGCAGCAGCGTGTTGGCCGGAAGAGACTCGTGCACCTGCCCCACCTGTGCGTCCACCTTCCTGGAAGATTCCTCAACAGCCAAGTCAGCAGGATGAGCAAGTGGGGAAGAGACCTGCTGCTGCTATTGCTGCTGCTGTGCCTGTGCCTGTGCTTGTGCCTGTGCCTGTGCCATTGTGGTCTCAAGAACGGGTGGTGATGATGCAGGTTTGGGAGCAAGCTCAGGTGCGGGTTTGGACTCAGGGCTGGTGATTCGTGTGGAACAAGGTTCGGAGGCAGGTTCGGAAGCAAGGGCAGTGGCGAGTCGAGGCATGGCGGCAAGGGAGGAGCAGCGGGCGGAGAGTGAGGCCATGAGGGAGGGGAAGGTGGCTGCTAGGAGGTTGACTGATGGCTTGCACGCCTGCCCATGGGGGGAGAGAGGGGGAGAGGAGTGGAGGGATGATGGGAAGGCAGGACGAGAGGATAAAGAGCAGCGGGCGGAGAGGGAGGCCATGAGGGATGGGAAGGTGGCTGCTAGGAGGTTGATTGACGGCTTGCACACCTGTGCACGAGGGGAGGGAGGGGAGAGACAGGGGGGAGAGAGGGGGGAGAGAGGGGAGAGACAGGGGGGAGAGAGGGGAGAGAGAGGGGGAGAAAAGAGGGAGAGAGGGGAGAGGGAGAGGGGGTAAGGGTGGAGAGAGGGGAAGACCGGGGGAGAGAGAGGGAGAGGTGGGAAGAGATGAAAATTGAGGAAGAGAGAAACGGAGAGCGGGGAAGAGAGAGGAAGCGAGAAGGAGACAAGGGGGAGAGGGGGGATGATGGTGTCGCAGCTGAAAGGGAGGGAGGAGCAGCGAAGCTACAATCACACTTTAGGGTGGCTTATGCGAGGCGCCAGTGAATTCCTCGCTGCTCTCTTTCCATCCCGTACCTCTCTTCTCGCAACCTTGCCCAAGTCCCCGTGCTTGAGGCACAAAATCTCTGACGTGGAGTTGGAGTTGCCGCCCAGAAAGAGGTCCGGCCTGGCAGCTTGCGCGTGCAGCACGACGGTGCAGTGCCGCCCGGAGGCAGAGAGGCGCGTGAGAATGTTCTCAGTGTGGTGGAGCTTGGACGCCCTTCGAGGCAGGCCGAAGTGGGGACCTAAGAGGGAGAGGGGATGCAAGGGGGCAAAAGGACGGGGCGTGAGGGTGCAGTGGCGCCCGGAGGCAAAGAGGCGCGCGAGAATGTTCTCCGCGTGGTGGAGCTTGGTTGCCCTTCAAGGTAGACCGAAGTGGGGACCTGAGAAAGGGGCAAAAGGTGAGGTGAATGGTGTGGGACGAAAGAGAAACCCAAGGGACAGGTGGGTAGACATTGGGAAGGAGGGAGGGAGGGAGGCGATTGGGTGGGAGGTGGTTGGGAAGGTGGGACGTAGGAAGTAGATTGTGGAAGTGAAATAGCTGAAAGCTGAAGGGTGAGGGAAAAATCTTTGCCTCAGTCTCTCTCCTTACATGTAAACCTCCCAATCCCTACGAACATGTGTGTATCACCATATTACCATGTTACAATGTTATGACGAGACCATACCGTGTTACAGTCAACAATGTTACGGTGTTACCACAGTAGCCTAGTGCAACACTACAGTGCCACAATGTTACGCTAGTACCACATTACTGCCTTACCATGTTACCATGTTTCTCAAATGTTACTTTTAGTACACCACATTACTGCATTACCATGTTACCACATTTCTCAAATACCATGTTACTTTAGTACATCACATTACTGCATTACCATGTTACCATGTTTCTCGAATTTCATGTTATGTTTGTACACCACATTACTGTGTTACCATGTTACCATGTTGTATTTTGAGCAGGGCGAGGTCAAGAGCAGCCCGTGTGTCCTCCACACTGTTATGCCCGGCACTATCAGATGCCACTTTGCCTTGCTGCTCCTCTGCTGCTCCCTCTCTCGCTGCTGCTCCCTCACTTGCTGCTGCTGCTACTCCTGCTGCTGCTGTGGCTTCTTCTGCTGCTCCACCCGCTGTGGTCCCGCCGTTCGCAGTCTCATGCCGCACGCCATTTGCTGCCACCTTTCCATCACCACCCACTCCTCCGGCTGCTGTAGCTAGCGGTGCTGCTGCAACTAGCTTTTGAGCATTACGGCACACAAGTTATTCCTGTGGTAACCACTTGCAGCACCCGCTGCAGCCACTGCCGCCCTCGCCGCACCAGCAGCAGCAGCTGCTGCAGAAGAAGAAGAAGAAGCGGCACCTTCAGCACCACCACTACCAGCACCAACACCCCCCCTGTGAAACGACCATCCTCCCCCTCTCACCCCCCCTCTCATCCCCCCTCTCTGTCCCCTCCCTCCCCGCCCCTCCCTGCCCACCAGCCAGCCTGTATGGTCCTCCCAAGGTAATCTGCTGCCAGGAAGCACAGGGCACTCTTGAAAGGGGGGCTGCGAGGGTGCGGGAAGAGCAGTGACGTGCCGATCACGCGCAGATGGACGGCCCAGATCACGTGCAGATCGCTCTCTGTGGAATGGCCGACCAGGATGGTCTCTGCGCTAACTGTGTCGAGAAAATGCTCCTGATGGGGGGAGAGAAAAGAGGGGGCGGGGGGAGGGGGGGAAAGGGGGGGGGGGGAGAGGTTGAGACGTCTCAATCACATGTGGCGTGCAGATCGCTCTCTGTGGAATGGCCCACCAGGATCGTTTTGGCGCTGACTGTGTCGAGGAAATGCTACTGATGGGGAGGGTTGGGGGGTGGGAAAGTGGGAGTGGGGACGGTGGGAGTGGAGAGGAGGGGGAGGGAGGGAGGGAGGGATGGAGGGAGGGAGGGAAGGAGCTAGGGAGCGAGCGAAGGAGGGAGGGAGGAGTGCGTACAGGTTTCTATTTTTTGCTCTGGAATGCTATTAAGAAACGAGATGAGTACAGCCTCCACTGTAGCTAGCAGTTCGCTGCATTAGCTGAACTGGCTGCTGCTTCTGCAGGTTCTGAGGCTGAAGTTGCTGATGCTGCTCCGGCTGCTTCTGTTGCAGCTGCTAGTTCAGCTGCTGCTGCAGCTGTTGGTCTGGGTGAAGATGCTGTTGGTCTGTGTGAAGATGCTGTTGGTCTGGGTGAAGATGCTGTTGGTCTGGGTGAAGATGCTGTTGGTCTGGGTGAAGATGCTGTTGGTCTGGGTGAAGATGCTGTTGGTTTGGGTGAAGATGGTTATTTTGCACTGGCTGCTTCTGCTGCGGTGGCTGCTGCTGCTGCTGCCTCTGCCGCCTCCACCGCCGCTGATCCCGATGCTCCTGCTTCCGCTGCTGCTTCTCCTGCTGCTGCCCCTGCTGCTGCCCCTGCTGCTGCCCCTGCTGCTGCCTCTGCTGCTGCTGCTGCTGCTTCCCCTGCTGCTGCCCCTACTGCTGCCCCTGCTGCTGCTGCTGCTGCTGCTGCTGCCCTTGCTGATGCCCCTGCTGCTGCTGCTGCCCCTGGTGCTGCTGCTGCTGCTGCTGCTGTCCCTGCTGCTGCTGCTGCTGGTGCTGATCCAATATGAGATCCTGTTGCTGCTCTGATGAAGATACCGATTTTGCACTGGCTGGTGCTGCTGCTGCTGCTACTGTGGCTCAGACTGAAGAGAATGCAGCTGGGAAGCAAGCAGGTGGGAGTATTTCAACCAGACAACTGTATCCTGCGTAGCACAACCATCCTGGACAGCCCAGGCATCAATTGCCGACCAGAACGACTGGTGGCACGCATCACATGCTACATGCATCATTGTGACGCCCTCTGTGCGCTATACACCACGTCCTCTGTATTGCTGGCCTTGTGTACAGTTAGCACGGGCACCATCTGTAAATCAGCACTCCCTTGAATCAGCACCCAAGACCTCCTCTAAGCATGGCAGCGCTGTCACGGCGAAGCCCTCTGCGCCCTATACAGCACATCCTCCGAGCAGTCAAACACGACTAGGTCCGCATCCCTGCTATCGCTAGCTTTGTTTACAGCTGGCACGGGCACCGTTTCTAAATCAGCACTCCCTCCGACCTCCTCCGGGCATGGCAGAGCTGTCACTGGGAAGTCCTCTGCTCCCTATACACCACGTCCTCAGTACAGTCAAACACGACAAGATCCGTGTCATTGGCTTTCTGTGCAGAAGGCATGGAGACCATCTCGGAATCATCGTTCCTTTGAATCAGCACTCCCGACTTGGCAATCTCGTCTGCCATCAGGAAAAGGTCATCCAGGCATGCATCTGGAACGGATCCTTGCATGCATGAGTCCATGGAGCTGTAGCTCATGCTCCCCATGGTCATGCCCATGCTGTCAGCCCGATTCAACTGGCAGCTCATGCTTCCCACAGTAATACCCAAGCTGTCAACGCTACTCAGCTGAAGCGTGCTGGAGTGGCTACCCCCATCTTGGACGCTAGTAGACTGAACGCTCCTGCTATCGCTGGTGTGTGCGTTGGCGCTCCTATACCCTATACCCTCATTATCTTTTCTCGAGGGCCCTGCACCTGTACCCAAGCCATGCAGAGTTGTGTGGCCTGTGGAAAGCCCAGGCATGTGAGTGCGGCTGCCAGTGTAGCTACCAGTGCTGCCCCTAGAATCAGTCGTATATACAGCTCGCTGCATAAGCTGTTCCAGCTGCTGCTTCTGTTGCTGCTCCAGCTGAAGATGTTGCTGCAGCTCCGGCTGCTGCTGCTGCTGCTGCTGATGCAGTTGCTGCTTTGGGTGCTGCTGCACCTGCTGCTCCGGCTGCTGTTGCTGCTGCTGCTTCTGCCCTGGCTGAATGTAATGCTGATGCTCTAGCACAAGGTGCTGAAGCTGCTCTAGCTGACGATACTGCTGTGGCAATAGATATAGATGCTGATTCTGGAATGGCTCCTGCTGCTGCTGCTGATGCTGCTGTTGCTGCTGCTGCTGCGGCTGCTGCTGTTCCAGCATAAGTTGCTGTAGCTGCTCCAGAGAAAGATTATGGTTCCTCTCTTGCTGCTGCCGCTGCTGCTGCTGCAGGTCCAGCATAAGATGCTGTTGTTGCTCTTGCTGCTGTAGCTCAGGCTGAAGAGACTGCAGCTGTGAGTCAAGCAGGTGGGCCTATTTGAGCGAAAGAGCAGCATCTGGTGTAGCACAATCAGTGATGGGCTGAACAGCCCATGCATCACATGTCTCCTATGGAACTATACCACATGCAGCCATGGCAAGAGCGTCAGCTGGAGTCATCAAAGGGAGTGAATCTTCAATACCAGAGGCAAAGATACCTGTGCTAGCCGCAGGGGTACAGACACTAGTGCTAACAGCAGGGGCTAAGACACCAGTGGTAACACCAGGAGCACAGACACCAGCGGTGATACCAGGATTGGTGGGCATGAGTGAAGAAGCTGCGACTGGTGATGACTCAGAGATGGGTTTTGCTGAGCTGGAAGTACTGGGGATGAGAGGTGAAAATGTGGTTACACCTGTGGTGGTTATGCCAGTGGTGGTTATGCCAGTGATGGTTATGCCAGTGATGGTTACACCTGTGGTGGTCATGCCAGTGGTGGTTATGCCAGGGGTGGTTACGCCAGTGGTGGTTATGCCAGTGGTGGTTATGCCAGGGGTGGTTATGCCAATGGTGGTTATGCCAGTGGTGGTTATGCTAGTGGTGGTTATGTCAGTGGTAGTTATGCCAGTGGTGGTTATGCCAGTGGGGATATCGCCAAAGGTGGGGGCAGCCTCTTGGAAAAGAAGATGCTCAGTGCTGAATAGAAATGGGAGCGCTTGATTCATATGCTGCTGTTGCTGCTGCTGCTGCTGCGTCTGCATCTGCATCTGCATCTGTGTTTGCTGCTGCTGATGCAGCTGATTCTGCGTCTCCTGCTGCATCCGTGTCTGCTCTTGCATCTGCCTCTGCTCATGCCGAGGCGGCTGCTGCTGCTGCACCCGTGTCTGCTGCTGTATCTGTGTCTGCTGCTGTATCTGTGACTGCTGCTGTATCTGTGTCTGCTGCTGTATCTGTGTCTGCTGCTGTATCTGTGTCTGCTGCTGTATCTGTGTCTGCTGCTGTATCTGTGTCTGCTGTTGCATCTGTGTCTGCTTTTGCATCTGTGTCTGTTGCTGTGGCCTTGGCTGCTGCTGATGCAAAAGTTTCTGGTGATGCTGCTGCTGCACACAGTGTTGCTGCTGATGGTAGTGGCATGTCTGGTGCTGTTGCTGATGTGGTTGTACCTGCTGCTGCCACTGATTCGGTCTAAGATGCTGCTGGTCCTGCAGATGCTTCTGCTGCTGTTTATCCAGCTGGTGATGTCTGTGCTCTTGCAGACTGATGGACCTATCTATCTGACTTATCTGGCCACATCCTGTGATGGCTCAGGCATCAACCACCATGGGGCGTGCTTGCTCTGGTTGAGTATGCATGAAGCTGTCCACTGGAATAAATGAAGGCTGGGAAGCATTCGGCGCTTCGGAAGCTAAGCGGGGTAAGCGCGCAGGATCAAGCAATGGAGGGAAGGGGCATGGCGGAGGGACGGTGTTAGATCGAGAAGGGGGGCAGGAGAATGGAACCTGATTAAAGGGCAGATTCAGAGCGCTGAAGAATTGACTATGAAAATCTGATGAAGGGGAATCTACATTGCTGGGAACTGAGGATGGATGCCATGCTGCAGATGACACGCAAACCGTAGCAAGAGGATGGCTCACAGCAGGAGTGAAGGTCGTAGCGGGAGGGGAGATTGTGTCAGGAGTGCGAGCGCATGGTGTGGCAGGAGCAGAAAGGGAAGTAGGGGAGCAGAATGCAGCAGGAGATGAAAAGGTAGCAGGAGTGCGCGTTGTAACAAGAGCGGGCAATGTAGCAGGAGCGCTGGTTGTTGCAGCAAAAGCAGCAGGAGCGCAGGTTGAAGGGCGAGTGGAAAATGTAGAGTGCAGGTTGTAGTGGGAGAACGGGACATAAGAGCACTGGCTGGAGTGCTAGAAACGGGTGCAGGAGCAGATGATGCAAGAGCAGAAGATGTAATGGCAGAAAAGGGTGCAGGGGCAGAGGTTGCAAGAGCAGAAGATGTAGTGGGGGCAAAGGATGAAGGAGCAGAGGCAGTAGTGGGAGCAAAGGATTCAGGAGCAGGGGATATGGTGGGAGCAAAGGATGTAGTGGGAGGAAATGATGCTGGAGCAGGGGATGTAGTGGGAGAAACGGATTCAGGAGCAGGCCATGCTGAATGTATGGGGCATGATGACGTAGCAGGGGGACCCTGTGTGGCTGGAGGAAGGGATGTAGCGGGGTGCCAGGTTACTACAGCAGCAGGGCTGGAGGAAGAGACACCAGCCGAGCTCGTTCAAGAAACGGCAGGAAGTGGCGGCGGGTGGTTATGTGAGCCCTGGTATACTGTCCTCACCACCACGCGCATCTCAGTCCTTGGTAGCACCACAGTGTCAGTCTCCTCACTGTCGTCTAGGCTACTAGTACCCACAGTAGCTCTCGCAGCATCCGCAGTGGGGCTGGACCCTCTTGAAGCAGGAGCACCGCCTCTGAATGTGGCTTTTGAGGTGGCTGCACCGCCTTGGTGCCTCGGCCCGGGGATGCTGGTTGAGCGGCGATGCCTGGCCGCTCCGGCCACGCGGTCTTCGATCTTCTTTGCCATGCAGCCTGTCGTTTCCTTGGACGCGCACACAAAGTACAACCTGCAGGATTTATTGAGGAAAAAACAGATTGGTTAGCACCATTGCCGAATGAAAGAGTCCTGAAAGTGGCCCGAAGCTTCTGAAAGGAGAATTTTGGGGCAGGGTTTTGCGGACCCTCAAAAGTGTTACAAGGTAATCATTTCTGATACAACAATGTGTCAAAAGGCTTATCATTTTAACTAAGAAGCAGACTTTCTTTTCATACTCAGGAGGTATGCACATGGTGCCACCATGGACGGTAGTTGCTCGTATTTTGAACGATATCGACAGCATGGTGGCACATGTAGGTCAACTCGTTTGAAAAGGGTGGCTAGGGCAGATTACAACCTCACTTTTTCATCTGTAGGCCCACAATGCACTTGTGCGACGTCTTCCTCCATTTGTACTCTTCATGTGCCACGTGCTGCAGTGGATTTGGCGCGTGTTGCGCAAAATTCGGCGTGTGTTGCACCTGATTCGGCATGTGTTGCACCATCGGAGTCAGGCCCATCGTTGGCGACGGTAACCCAACACCAGCACGTTCATAACGTGTGTCTGAACTGGATCCAGAAGCTGAAGCCCTAAGAGTGGCAGGCTGGGGCCACCGCGGCACCGCCTGACAGATTATATCATGTTGCTGTTGCTGCTGCTGCTGCTGCTGCTGCTCGTGCCTCATTGCTTGGAAGCTTGCCGCCAGAGGATCGCAATCCGAGCTGTCAATGTCGGAGGCTCGCTGATCGGAATGAGTCGCTGTTTCAGAGAATTCTTCGGATTCCAAAACAAGAGTTGCGGCAAGTCTGGCTGAGATGGACTCCATGAGGCCTGAGCCAGATCCACATCCGAGTGTTCAAAGGGTCCGGATCAAACCTCTCTAAACATAGACTGTGTTGCACCCCAAGAGCAAAAGGTAGTAAGTGGAAGGCGTGGGTTGCCGACATGGAAGGATGAAAACTGATGTTCGAGTGGAAGTGGAAGAGGAAGTGAAAAGAATGTTCGTGGAGCATTTCTAACGGAAAGTTTGCGTTTACAATGCGGCGCCTCGCATGACAGGTCTTTCTTTGGTCCAGCGTCATGTTGTTTTGAAAGCAAGGGTGCCAGGCATGGCTGGATTTGGTCAGCAAGGCGTGCGGAGAAAAGAGGGGGACGGAGGGGAGGGGAGAGGGGGGTGTTTCGATTGTGAGGGTTGGAGAGGGATTGGGTGGATTACATGGGTGAACTAGCGACGCAAATTTCACATTTCTGAGTGGATGGGGCATGTCAACTTTCAGATCCGATGGTCTTGGTGCTGTTGCAAAAAGATGCGAGCAGGGAAAAGGAGGGCTGTCGAGGCGAGGAAGGGGGTTTAGGGTCACGTTAAAATTATCAACAGGTCACTTGAAACGTTTGAAACTTTTCTAGTGTATCACTGTTTTGTCAAGATGCACAAGAGGTTTGAAAGCACAACAATTGCTGCTGTCCTTGATCGGTGTTCGTGAGATGCACAAGAGGTTTGAAAGCGATTGCAGGTTCGACGAACTCGTTTGTTGCGTTGTTTTCTTTCAATCGAGCCTGCCCGAATGCACGTGTTCCTGATTAAAACACAGTTTGGGCTAGCCTAGAACGTCATATGCAAATACTGGAATTCGTGAAACCCATGGTGGTACGTATAAAATGGTGTAAAGATTGGTGGAACATTGGTGAAACCATAAAGAAAATGTTCCTAGGCAAGGAAAACCGGCACACCTAGTGCGACAAACGAGTGCCTTTCCTTGTCAAATGTTCCCCCCAAGAGCCCGAAAAGTGCAGTGCAGATATTCAGGTCCAGTGTGGCAGTTTTGCAAATGAACCCTTTACGAATGTGGATACACAGATTTTTTTTTCTTTTTATGAAAAATCCACTATAAAGTGGTGTACGTGAGGATACACAGGTACGTGTTTGTGCGAATTCTCTTACCCAATCAGGTGCGTGTGTCAAAGGTTCACTGGTGATCCCCGATTGATCCTAGGGAAGGGTTACAGGCACATTGGCCTGGGGGGTTATGGGCGCACTTACCCGCTACACAAACAAGCCCTTTTATCCCAATGGTCTAGTGGTTGGGATTCTGACATGGTATCAGAGTGAAGGTCTCGGGTTCGAATCCCAGTGTGTGCACTTCGAGCATCCCAGTGCGGGGGGGTGTCAGAGGTCCACTGGTGATCCCCGATTGATCCTAGGGAAGGGTTACAGGCATGTTGGCCTGGGGGGTTATGGGCGCACTGACCCGCTACTTAACAAACCCTTTTATCCCAATGGTTTAGTGGTTGGGATTCTGACAGCGTGTAGTTCTAAATTCGTTTTCGTGTGCCTATCCCAAACACGTGCTTCACTATCGTTGCAAACGTGGCACCCAAAATCACGTGCTTTGTGCACTGTTGCTGGTGGAACTTCGGAACGCCATCCTGGCTGGGTGCCTGATTGTCGGAACTTGATGTTTCCTCTGGCTGCAACCAAACGAAAAAGTGCTTGCACAGTGAATTCATACAATTGATGCGGACACTAGTGTCTCCGCATGGATATACAAATGTTCTGGCTTAGAGGCTCTTCCTAAAAGAGTCCATTTTCCACAACGAGTAGATTTTTCACATAAGTCCTAGGTGTATCCCCTCCTCTACAGTCCCATTTTTGGCGGGAAATCTTGCATCTTGACTGAATCATTGCACGAATCAGTTTCGCAGCCAATCAGAGGACGCAGATCGAACCTGTCAGAACATTAAAGGGAAAGAAACTAAAAGGACGTTTTGATTCACTTTTTACTTTTTTCAGTTGTGTTTGTCTGTTTATCCTGACCGCTCTTGCGTATAAATCCTGTCGCGCGGTTCCCTGCGAGCTCCGACGATGCCATCTCATTAATCTCGCTTACAGTGTTAAAAAAAATGTTGTCTTTCATTTCGGCCTTAAACATAATGTATTTTGTATTTTTCTGCCCGTTTGTCCTGCGACACTGATCAGCACGGCGAACCGTGCGACGAGAAGTTGAAGACAGCGTAGTCCGAATGTACGTGTGACAAAAAAACACGAATATTATCGAAAACAAAATCGCTCTTCATGCAATTGTCCTTATCTAAGAGTATAAGTTCCCTTTTGCCCGGGGTTTGTGAGTTTTCCACAAAGGCCCGCAGCGCGCGTGTTTCTTACGGGGACTCTAATCGAGAACATTTGTAGCGTACGTACTTGGCAGAAGCAATGGAATGGTCAACAGTCTGGGACTCTTGGCAACGACCCACATTTCCACTTCCTGACCTCAAATATATTTCTTAAGTTCCCCTTCTAAAACACTAAAAGCAGCCAGAGACTTTAGAGCTGTAGTTGAGCAGGTACCACGTTCAGGCCCAAACTTCCAAGCTGATTCGATTGCGAGTGAGGAGAGGAGCAATGTGCGTACATAAATTCGTGATTAGACTGGCGAGGGTGTGTGAGATCAGACGCCACACACATTCGCGAGAGAATTACCGCAACGCGGGCTTTGGTCTCGTGAAATTTTCTTATCGCGCTCAAATTTTTTCACAACCCGAAACTCACACACGCCACCTTCTATCCCGCTCGGTACGCGCTACGGAGATTTCGCTTCATTTAAACACCATAATGGTTTTTTTTGGGGGGGTTCCAATTTGTCGGTGGGCAGTTTACTGGTTGACATCGAACATAACTGCCACGCAGTGTTGTCAGATTTATATGACATAGCTACTGTAGGCTATAGTGGGGTAGCACATATGGGGTACAGCTTTCTAGGGTTTGTACTTGTACCCAACTTTCCCTTAGTCATTCCATTCTCGTTCAGTTTCTCATGGTATCGAGCAGGTTCCCCTGTAGGAACTGTTCCTAGGGCCCACCACCTTTTCTTTTCCTGCCCGGAGCGCGCTCTACACTGCCCGAGTCGCGCTCCCCTCTCACGGCCCCGTCGCGCCGCCCTTTCGACCCTGTCGCGCCGCCTTAGCGGCCCCGTCGCGCCGCGCTTGCGGCCCCGTCGCGTCGCCCTCGCGGCCCCTTCACGTCGCGCCGCCCTAGCGGCCGCGTCGCGCCGCCCTCGCGGCCCCGATCCGCCGCCCTCGCGGCTCCGTCGCGTCGCGCTGCCCTCGCGGCCCTTTCACGCCGCTCTCGCGGCCTCTTCAAGCCGCCCTCGCGACCCCCCCCCTCCTAGCCCCCCTAGCGGCCCCGTCGCCCACCCCTGCGGCCCCGGCGCCGCCCTTCCCTACCTCGGCGCCGCCTCTGCTGGCCCCGTCGCCTACCCCTGCGGCCCCGGCGCCGCCCTTCCCTGCCTCGGCGCCCCCTCTGCTGGCCCCGTCGCCTACCCCTGCGGCCCCGGCGCCGCCCTTCCCTGCCTCAGCGCCGCCTCTGCTGGCCCCGTCGCCTACCCCTGCGGCACCGGAGCTGCCCTTCCCGGCCCCGACGCTGCCTCTACTGGCCCCGACGCCGCTCCACCCGGCCCCGCCGCCGCTCCACCCGGCCCCGCTGCCGTCCCCACGCGGCCCCGCCGTCACCACCGAGCCGCCGGCGCCGCCTAGCTGCTGCCGAGCCGCCCGATCCGCCCGAGCCGCCGCGCCACCTGAGCCGCCCGAGCCGCCGGGTCGCCGAGCTGCCGAGCTGCAGTTGCTGCCAAGCCGCTGTACCGCCGAGCCACCCGAGCCGCCCGAGCCGCCGAGTCGCCGAGCCGCAGTTGCTGCCGAGCCGCCGAGCCGCCCGAGCGGCCCGAGCCGCCGAGTTGCCGAGCCGCCGAGCCGCCGAGCTGCCCGAGCCGCCCTGTCCGGTAAGAGCAGCGCCTCTGTCACTGCACTGCCCTTACCCTGCTGTTCGCGCTGCTAGCCTACTGCTGTCATGGCTACCCCTAGTGTCCTCGCTTTTGACGCTGAGGGTCGGGCCATTGACTTTGACGTCTGGGTAGATGACCTGCAGCTTTTCCTACAGTGCGATAGGGCAGACGGTCTCTCCCTCTTTGACCTCACCTCTGGTGCCTCTCCTGCCCCTGCTGCTTATGCCGACGCCACTGTTCGCTCACAGTGGGCCACACGCGATGCTGCTGCACGTCTTGCTGTGCGTCGCCACCTGCCTACCTCTGAGCGTGCGCACTTTAGCCAGTACAAGAGTGCTCAGACCTTGTACGACGCTGTAGTTGCGCGCTACTCCTCCCCTGCCACTGCTGCACTGAGCCGCCTTATGCTACCGTACCTCTTCCCTGACCTTGCTGCCTTTCCCACAGTCACTGACCTCATTACGCACCTCCGCACTAGTGACACTCGCTACCACGCTGCGCTTCCTGCTGAGTTCTGCGCCAAGAACCCCCCCCCCATGTACATCACCCTCTACTACATAGTCACCCGGCTCCCTGACTCCCTTTGTGTAGTCAGGGACCACTTCCTCTCAGTTTGCCCCACCACTCTCACCGTTGACCTCCTCGAGAAGGCCCTCCTAGCGGTCGAGAAGAGCATAGTCGCTGTAGGAGCCTCTCGTGGTGACCCTCGCACCCCCGTCTTTGAGGGGTGTTCCCCCTCCCCCCTTTTGCCCTCTGTTGCCTCTTCTGCTGCGGCCGACCTCGTTGGTTTCGAGTCGGTCGGCGCTGCGTCTGCCCCGAGCGGGAGACGCCGCACCGGCAAGGGCAAAGGGGGCAAGGGTGCTGGAGGGGCTGGCGGGGGTAGCGGAGGTGGCGGTGGAGGCAGTGGAGGGGGTGGGGGTGGTGGAGGGAGTGGTGGCGGGGGTGGAGGTGTCGGTGGCGGCAGTGGAGGCGGAGGCAGCGGCGGCGGTGGCGGTGGGAGCGGAGGTGGCGGAGGTGGCAGTGGTGGAGGAGGCGGCGGCGGAGGAGGTGGAGCTGGTCAGGGTGGCACTGCGCAGAGGGTCGGCTCGGGTGGTGGTCACCGCCAGCAGCAGCAGCAGCAGCAGCAGCAGAAGCGCACTCGTGACATCCCCCCCCCTCAGCAGCTTCGTGAGTGGTACGCTGCACGCCTGCGGGGTTGGGGTACTGGTCCGTGCACCTACGTCCTACGCACCGGCGACCGCGCGGGTGAGCAGTGCGGGGGTGCGCACTCCACCCAGCGCTGCTTTGGCCGCCTGACGGACGCTTGGCGTCACCAGTTCCCGGAGGCCACTAAGATCCCCTGCTGGGGCGAGCTGTCTAGGGCGGGAGTAGCTGTCTTTGACCTTGACTTTGATGCTATTCTTGCTGCCATGTATGCTGTGACTATTAGTGATGAGGGTGATCGTTACCGGTGTTTTCCGCCCGACCCGGGCATTGAGACTGCTGCTCTAGCTACTTGTGAGGCTGCAGCCCTAGGTGCTAGCGAGGCTGCTGCTCTAGGTGCTCGTGCGTCTGCTCCCTCAGGTGCTGGTGAGTTTGCTCTCTCAGGTACTGCGTCGGCTTCGGCCTACCACACCTTCACCCTTGACTCGGGGGCTTCTCGCTCCTTCTTTCGAGACCGCACCACACTCACGCCGCTTGGCTGGCCAGTTGCCGTCTCTCTGGCAGACCGCTCTGGGGGTCCTTGAGAAAACTGAAACGAGAATGATTGAACTATGAATGAACTGAGTACAAGTACTAACCCTAATTGGGTTGTACCCCTTATGGGCTACCCCACTATAGCCTACACAATAAGCACAAGCTATATGTTCTGACATACCCCCATAGGCAAAGTGGGGGAGAACAAGGGGTCACAAGACCAGTCAAGCAAAGCAAAGCAAAGCAAGCTCAGGGTGGATCACAAAGTCACCACACATTCCGAGCACACGTTCAAGGCCACAAGGCCAGTTCACATGCAGGAGTACATATATATAAAGGACTAGACAAGCAAGAGTAGGTGTATATATATGCAACAGTACAAGCAAGGTCAAGAGGTAAGTAAGTGAGGCAAGACAGGTACAAGACCCAGCTGCGTGCAGAAGCGCTGATGATCACAAGGCGCAAGTGCCTTGGTGAAGACATCAGCAGTGTTGGCCTCAGAGGCCACGTACGCAAGCCGCAACTGACCACGCTGCTGTAGCTCACGAGCAAGAAAGTAGCAAAGAGCAATGTGCTTTGTTCTGTGCTCCAGTCTCTGCTCTCGACACAAGGCCAGCATGGCCTTGTTGTCTACGTACAGGACTGGAGGAGAACGAGGCGGCTCTCCAAGGTCGGTCAGCAGGTAGGTGAGCCAGCGAAGCTCCTGGGCAGCCATAGCCCCGGCGTAGATCTTAGCCTCACAACTGGAGCCGAGAACAGAAGACGAGCGGGTAGCCCGCCACGAAACAGAGCCGGAACCAAGGCTGAAGGTGTAACCCTGTGACGACCGCTGCGTAGCCTGGTCGTCAGCCCAAGAAGCGTCTGCGTGCCCAGTAAGGACCACTGGACTCCGCCCTCCAAGCACTAGCCCCATGCCCGACGTACGGCACAAGTAGCGCAACACCCTCTTCGCTGCAGCCATGTGCTCTGGTCGGTGTCTCCCAGGAGCAACATAGCGTGCGAGAATGCTAAGAGGGTATGGAAGGTTAGGTCGTGTGCAGGTCATCAGGTACATGAGGCAGCCAACAAGCTCTGGATACGGGCCACTCGACTCTACGGACTCATCCGAAGGCAGAGCTGAGAGCGAGTGGCAAGTAGGCAGAGGAGTGGCCTGAGGCGAGGAGTACGTGAAGCCGAAGCGCTGAAGGACCTGCTGCACCATGTGTGACTGAGTCAGAGTAATGGTGCGCTGTGCTCTGTCCCGGGTGATCTGCAAGCCAAGGTAGCTGCGCAGTTCACCCAGGTCTGTGCACGTGTGTCTCTTCTGCAGCTCGGACTTCACGTGGGCGAGTCCAGCAGTGTCAGCTGTGGCAAAGACCAAGTCGTCGACGTACACGAGGATGTAGAATGGCGGCAGAGAGGTGTCGGTGCGCAGAAACAGCGACGGGTCGGCAGTAGGAGCAAACCCAAGAGCCGCAAGCGTAGTCCTCAGTGTGTCGTGCCACTCACGTGGCGCCTGGCAGAGACCGTAGACTGGACGCCGGAGACTCCACTGAGTACCAGGAGGGAAAGACCCAGTGAAGCCAAGTGGGCGGCGCAGCCAGATCTCCTCGTGCAGGCTGCCCTGCAAGAAAGCTGTGCTGAAGTCAAGCGAGTGCAGCTCGTAGTCACGGTGAGCAGCAACGTGCAGCAGTACCCGAAGAGTGGTCATCTTCGGGGTGGGAGAGAAGGTCTGAAAGTAGTCAACTCCCTGCCGCTGATTGAAGCCACGAGCCACGTAACGTGCCTTGAAGACAGGCGGAGAACCCGGCGGCCGCTTCACCCTTAAGATCCACATGCCACTGACGATGTTCGTCCCAGGAGGGGGGACAGCGTCAACGTAGGTGCCTGTGGACTTCCAGGAAGCCATCTCTGCATCCATAGCTGCCTGCCAGTGAGAGGAGTAGGGACCCTCTATCGCCTCCGCGTAAGAGCGCGGAGTCGGGATGTCAAGTGCATCCGGGTCTCCCTCAGGGGTAAGCAGTACGGACACGAGATGAGGTGAAGCAGCTGCCAAGCACTGGAACTCCTCGAGCCTGTCCTCAAGGACGTCCGTGCCAAGGGCACACGCACCCCCGACGGACGGAGGACAGACAGACTCAGACTCAGCGACAAGACTAGTAGCGTAGTCTAGGCGACAGCGAGAAGCAAAGTCGACGAGCTCAGCAACTAAGGCAGACGCAGCAGTGGACTCGAAGGAAGGGTCAGTGACGACAGTAGCCAGGAGACGCGTGACAGTAGGACTGGCAGCACGAAGAGAGTCTGACTCCGGGTCGGCAAAAGTAGGAAGAGAGGACGCAGGAGGACAAGGCAAAGGGGCACGCAGAGGAGCAGTGGAGGGACGCAGAGACATCCGGTGCGTGCCAGGGACAGGAGGAGGACGCTGACGCGAACCACGACCACTAGCGCGAGCAGCACGGACAGGCGACGCAGGGCGAGACGCAGGCTCACGACGCTCAGCAAGACCTCCAGTAGGACCAGTGTAGGGAGAAGGAGCAGGCAAAGGGGAGGAAGGCTGCAACTGTAACTGTGACGGGACTGGCTGTGGACACTCTAAAGAAGGAGGAGGACCAGTAGAAGGTGGAAAACCAAGAACCTGCTGCTGGAGTGGAACGAAGTACGGTCGAGGCCGCGCAACGACGCTAGACACAGCAGGTACAGCACCAGCACCCCCAGCAGGAGCACCCGCTCCAGCAGCACCTCTAGTAGCGCCTGAACCTCCAGCAGTACCAGGAGTACTCGCAGCAGGACCGCCAGCAGTAGTCTCAGCTCCAACACCCTCAGCAGCACCAGCTCCAGTCGAACCCGCAGGCCCAGCAGCTCTAGTACGAGCACCTCCGTGACCCGCGACAGCAGCATCCTCAGAAGCCGAAGAACCTCCGGCACCAGCAGCACGCCTCCAGCGCCGGGCAAACCACTTGCGCAGCTCCCGTGGAGAGAGTGGCTCCCGCAGAGACGAAGCACCCGGAGAACCCCCAGGCGGAGCACCTCCAAGCTCAGCACCCCCAGGCTCAGCACCCCCAGGCTCAGCACCCCCAGGCTCAGCACCCCCAGTCGCAC